TAGTCCCCGAGGTATAAAGCATCCATCTTAAAGGTGGATGCAAATAGGTGGTCCATCTAAAGCATTCATCTTAACGATGGATGCAAATAGGTGGTCCATCTAAAAACAATTGTAACTAAATATTTTTTTAATATAATTATTATTTTTAGTTCTCAAATTTTATTTATTTTCATGATCTCTATGTTAAAGATTATATATACTTTAAAAATTAGGATCAAATTATATTAAAAAAACATTTATTGCCAAGCACGTATTTCTACAATATGTGGGCTAGCAGCATGCTAACCGCTTCCAAATCTAAATGCAACATAAGATGAAGGAGAAAGGAAGACAACCATACTAGATGCGTCTAAAATCTATGTAAATATGACTTTGGTTGAAGCCTACACCTGAGAAAAGGAAAAATGGAAGAGAGATAGAGTAAGAGAGAGAACCATATAAAGATGTGTCTAAAACCTAGAAAAGGAAAAATAGAAGAGAGAGAAACATGAATAGATAACCCTAAAATGTACAAATAAGCCTGTCTAAATGTGACAAAGATGAAGGAAAAAAAAGAGAGAGAAGCACATAGAGATATGCCTAAGATATAAACATATATGACTTTAGTTGAAGCCTCCACTTGGAAAAATAAGACAAAAAAACAAGAAAAGAAACATGTATAGAGGTTTCTAAAGTCATGAATGTAATAATATGAAAGGAAAAAACAAGAGGGAGAAACATGTATGGAGGCTCCTAAAGTCTGAATGTGATAAAGATGAAGGGAAAATCTAGAGAGAGAAACAGTTAGAGAGAGAGAGAGGTGTGAAATCCAGGGTGTGATGAAGATGAAGGGGGAGAGTCAAGTGGACAAGTTGGCAACTTGAAAAAGGGTGGGCGTTTGTCGATTGGCTCACTTTTTTTAGTCGGCAATACCGCATGCACATTGCAAAACGAGCTGACGCAAAATAAGGATTTGCTCTTGCAAGAGCATACTGTTCATTGCTCCCTCAAGTAAATTCAAGATAAAAGTATTTCTAGGATCCAAATTTTTTGGGAATGTAACTTTTGAACTTAGCCATGAATCATACAAAAAAAAAAAAAAAATTTATACAACTTTAAATATAGAATTAGGAGTGCACCTGTAAAATCCATCATAAAAGATTGTTTTGATGTTGGAAAACCCTCTAATTGATCATCTCGACATCAAGATATATGAATATGAAAAGACAAAAAAGATTCCAAGTCGTAAAAATGGTTTAGTCGTAACATATTATCTGGACCATCTATTTTCAATATTTTCAAGTGTTTATAGATGTACTTGATTTGAACCATTTTTGAAGTATAAGATTTTATAATTAGAGATGAAAATAGATTCCCTAACCATCCTAAGAATTTTTAACACCAAAATTATAGTTATGATGAAATTTGAAAGTGTGTCTTAATTTGATTGTTTAAGGTTGCAACCTTATACAAACCACACCCAAAGAAAAAAATGAATAGGATGGCACACACTTTGTATTTGATAAGAAAAATAACATTAACCAGGATTCCCAACTTTAGAAGGCTGAGATCTCAAACTTTATTTTTTTTTGCAGGGGAAATTTATTAAATTATTGATTATTTAACACTTTACTCACTTTATTTTGAAATGCCGATGAAAAACCTATGCTCATGAGTTAGAATAGTTCCATATTAAGTATTTCATCTCTCATGGGTATGTTAATAAATTTCCCTTTTCAAATCTATTTTTTCTTCAAGAATTACAATGTAGCTATTTTTAGGTGAATCACAAGATTTCAAATGAACAAAAAGCCACTAGGAGCTCTTCGGTCTGAGGGGAGTCATTGTACAGTATGATCCTAGTCTGAGGGGAGTCATTGTACAGTATGATCCTAGTAGAGCGCGAAATATGCACTCAAAAAAGACAAGAGGGCATATAATAAAATGTTATTAGATGCCAGTAAAGAAGTGAAATGAAGAAGAGAAGTTGACAAATGTACAGGATGCTCCTGCTGGCGCTCAAGAAGGACAGAAAGAGATAGACAACAGAAGGTGGTTAGGTGCCAGTAAAAAAGAGAAATTGACAAAAATAAGTTCATAGAAAAGAAAAGTATGAAGCATTAAAAAAAGTGAATGTGGAGTGACAAGGTGCATGAATGTCGCATAAAAAACAGGAAAAATTTTTTGACAGAGAGAACAAGGTACAACAACCTTTTTATCCACATGTCTTAGTTTTTTTTCTCAACAAAAAGACAGCCCCAAATCAAAAGCACCCTTCCTCAGAAGCCCTCATGTCAAGTGTCTCTTCCCTCTCTCAAAGATTAAGGTCTCTCGGAGTCTGACGACTCAGACTGTACATATGGAGGCTGCGATTAAACTATCTTAAAAATGAACTGTAATAAAAATTAAGGAATTCATGATGTAGATGAAGATGAAGATGACGATGAACATGAAAATAAAATAAGATTTTTGATATCTAACATGTAAGTTTTTTTAAAACAAATTATAATGTATAAGCCTTGTGAGTTTTTTACAACGCTCATCTTTCATTGCTGAGTCAGCCGGCTCTTGCGCCAGACTCATGAACGACTTTTCCAAGATTTTTTAAAAAAAAATAAAAAATAGTTATCTTCCTTCTCCCCCTCTCTCTCTGATCTCCCATTATCCTGCTCTTAATTTTTTCTCCCCTCCCTTATCTTTCATTTACCCTAATATTTTATTCATCTCCTCCCTCTGTCATTTCTCACCTTTCTCTCGTGATTACACATATACTATGTCCCTCAATAGCATCGTTTATTTCTTTTCTTTCAGTCAAATGTTCTGCTTAGGATAATTTTTTCAATTTGAAAGTTGGTAACTACTTTAGACTCACTAGGTGATTACTCTAAAAAATAATAATTGAATTTAAGTTTTTTAACACTTAGATCTCACTTTCTAAATATTGGACGGTTTCTATTCAATCTTGAGACATTATTTAGATCTCACCTTCTAAAAATTGGATGGTTTCTATTCAATCTCGAGACATTATTTTTTTCAAAGCCTTAGAAGGTACAATTAGGATTTTATTATTATTATTATTATTAAGATAAGCCCGTGTTAAAAAGGTTTTATCCCAAAAATTGAGGCTCTAAAACTAATAGGATTTTACTCAAAAAATAAATAGATAGTATACTCTCAAGGGACTAGAATATCTTTTGGCTTCCCTCATGTTGCTTCTCCTCTCCTCCCTGGCATTTTTATTTTGTTAAAAGATTTTGGGCTCCGGTTAGAGCATACTATCTATTTATTCCCTTATGTAAAAATATAATTCAAAATTCCAGGAATGCAACATCTCAATCTAACTGTCGCCAAAAACGAAAAAAAATTCTAATAGAGCACTCTGTACGTTGCTTAAGAGAAACAAATGATTAAATTTTTCTAAGGCCTAAGCTTTTATGAAAACAATAGAAAGTTTAGTCTCAAATCCTCATCCCAAAAACGTTTTTGATAATGAAAATATCTTTGATGGCTCTAAAATCAACTTTTTAACACCAAGAATAAGATTTGAAATTCAAATACCTACAACGGATTTGTGAATGCTTATTTATTTATTTATTTATTTATTTTTAAGGCTATGTACGTCTCATTCTCTCCCTCTAATTGCCGAAAGGAGTATCAAATGATTATTATTTTTTGTTTTTATTTTTTTAAGATCTATGTACCTCTTCATCTCTCTCTTATCTGTCTTAGCATCTTTCACTCGCTATGCTTCTCCATCTCCATCTCCATCTCCATCTCTTCGCACACGTCACCACCCCGCGTCCCAATCCCTTCCCCGCCGCCCTGGTGGTGACGTGGCAAGGCTAACGCCGTACCCTTCCACGTGGAGGCCTACCAAGCCGCCGCACCCCACGCGCTAATCGACAAAACCTGTGATGTCACCCGTGACCCAATCTCCACCGGCGTGTCTATCGCCAGAAAACCATGGACCTTTTCCGCCGAACACGTGTCGGTCGTAGGACGCCTAGTCAACCGATTCCAGTCGGCCCTGCAGAGCGGCGACGCCCACGTGTCCTTCTCGAAGGCGCGAGCGCCGACTAATCTCGACTGGGGGCGACCGGTTGACTGCGACAAGGAATCCCACGTGGCGGTAAATGGGAGGTAAAATGACGAAATTGACCTCGGTGTTTCCTTGTAAAGACCGGTTTGGTTTTTTTTTTTTTATTGGAAGGAACAATGATTTCTTGGTTTAAATGGATTTAGGACTCATCTTTGCTATTAAAGACGAGAGGAGGGATATACTGTAGAAGTAAGGTGCACTGCATATATCTATTCAAAAAAGTTGTTCTAACATTAAAAAACTTTTAAAATTATCCATTTAGATATTGAGATGTAAATATATGAAAAACCTTTAAAATTGACGATAATTTCAAGATTTTTTAGCATTTATAGATTTGTTTGATTTACATTATTTTTAAAGTTTTAAATTATATAATTAAAGGTAAAAATAGATTTAAAAGGATTTACGACATAAAAATAACCTATTCGGTTAGATATTTGAGGTGCACCTTACTCTTATAGTATAAGGTTGACGCGTTATAAAAACCACACCCTTTGATGATTGCTTAAATATTTTTTATTTGTTAAGAGATATTTCTTTTTTTTTTTTAGGTAAAAAAGTAGAAAGTGAAAATTTGAAGGGACAGTTAGGTAGACCATTTATAATTTAATCTTCTTTACAATGTAGATGCCTAGTAATAATACAAGATTGGTCCAAAAAAAAAAAAAGGGAAAGCAAGAATAAAGTTGTTAAGAAAAATGGCAACGATAAATCTGGTAATTTGTTGAAAGCATTCGTAAAACCAACGGCTTTAAGTATCTATATAACTGTATAACGGAAAGGGCATTTCCGTCCAAATGAAAAAGGTCAGATAAATTCGACTTGACTCATAAAAAGAGGGTAAGGATTAAAGACGTTCACAAGGGCATTTTCGACCGCAGCCTCTTTTATAGAATCTTTATATATGGTGTATAAGGATGGATCGCTTCTAATTTTAGCTCACTTCATCTGCAAGGAAACTTCAGCTTGAATTCTAGAGAGAGAGAGAGGAATCTAGAGAGAGAAAGAGAAAGAACACAGACCAAGAGGAATCCTCTTGCCCAAAAAGCTCAAAGAAAGAGGATAATCTTTTGTGCTCTAATCTAGGTTGAGACTCTGTAAGAAAACCGCTGCTTTAGCGTCAATCTTTTAGAGAGAGAAAGTGGAGACAAGTTGAGTGGAGAGCTGATTTAGAGCTATCTTTTAGAGAGAGGATTTCTCTAAAGAATCTGATTTCTCTTGAACCCACAACAAATTGCATATTTTTTAGAGTTGGGTTATTGTTTGTAAGAGAGAAAATTGAAAATTCTTGGTGGGGGATCGAAATTCTTTTGTAGAGAGAGAAATGACCTCGGATTTGGAGTTGCCTCCTGGATTCAGGTTTCACCCAACTGATGAGGAATTGGTGATGCATTATTTGTGTAGAAAGTGTGCCTCTCAGCCCATTGCAGTCCCCATAATTGCAGAGATCGACTTGTACAAGTATGATCCATGGCAGCTTCCTGGTAACCCCTTTTCTCTATCTTTTCTTTTCTTTTCTTTTCTTTTTTTTTTTTCTTTTTTTTTTTTTTTTTTAATTTTTTACCTTATTTTTAGTATTGCGCTCTCTCTAGAAAAATTAGCACTTCTGAAGGCTATTAGGAGAGAGAGCTTAAGCTTTTATATGCTCTAGAGAGAGAAACACTTAAGTTCCCTCAGCTTGTATATGGTAGAGAGAGAGAGAGAGATGCCTCAGCTTGTATGCTCCAGAGAGAGAGGGAGAGTCTAAAGGTTTTAAAAGCACCCAATAGGAGTTTTGTCTTGTTAGAGTTTGCAAGTCTATTTAATTATATTGTAATCCTGAGGACCACACCAATCGATGGTCACTAAGCGATCACCGCACGATCAGCGAGTTGAAAGGTGTAATAGAGGCTGGGTCCCACTTTATCTGCATCACCCTTTAAACCATTGGTTCTAGGTTCTCAATTAAAAAGTGGACCATTTACCTATGCACACAACGTAAAAAAAATACAAAATGGGTTTAAAAATTACACGAAAGGATCCACCGGCATTTGCATCACCTTCTACACAATCGGTGCGTGTTACTCTTGTGTCTAGGTTCTCAATTAAAAACAGAGTAATTTATGTACTGATGAAAAATAAAAAAATACAAAATGACTTTATTTTTGGGTGAAGTACTCTGATTTATTTTACTTTTTAAATTGTCACTTGGTTTAAATGGTCTTATGTGGAGCTAAATTGTTGGGGTTGTGTATGCAGGTGTGGCAGTATATGGAGAAAAAGAGTGGTATTTTTTCTCACCAAGAGACCGAAAGTACCCCAATGGGTCTCGACCAAACAGGGCAGCAGGGTCTGGTTATTGGAAGGCAACGGGTGCTGATAAGCCCATTGGACTTGGGCCTTCCAAGTCTAATAACAAGAAAGCAGTTGGGATTAAGAAGGCACTGGTCTTTTATTCAGGGAAACCACCCAAGGGTCAGAAGACCAATTGGATAATGCATGAGTATAGATTGGCTGATGTTGATCGTGCTCCTCGCAAAAACAACAACCTTAGGGTAAGCCTAAAATCTCTCTCTTTCTCTCTCACAATAACGGAGCCCTTTTGTCTTAACCGGTGTTCGACAAATCGAACCGGACCTGGCCGGGTCCGAGGAACTCTGAAACTGACCGGTTCAATCTGCCTAATCAGGCAGGTCTAAGGCAGCATACAAAACATTTAAAAATACATTACATACAAATTCTTTATTTTTTAGGATTATATATATATATATATATATTGGGCCGAATCACCTAAATTCAGTCTGTTCGCTGATTTATCAAACACTAGTCATAACAAATATATTACTCCACAACTCTCTCTTCTACCTATGCATGTCTCTAGTACTCAGTCCTGATGACCTCATATCTCAATTTTTACTTGGTAGTAGTTCTAACGCATTCACCCTTCTATACTCTTTCAGCTTGATGATTGGGTCCTATGCCGGATTTACAACAAGAAAGGGAGCCTTGAAAAGGCCTCAAGGGAGGCCAAGTGGGGCCAGCCGCCCCTCGAGTCGACGGTGGATCGGAAACCGCTGGTGGGGCCCATGCCAGCTCCAATCGTGCAGCCACAGCTGGATGTAATGCAAATGGAGGGCTCAGATTCCGCACCGAGGCTTTACACGGACTCCAGCTGCTCAGAGCATGCGCCTGAGTTGGCCTGTGAGAGGGAGGTGCAGAGTGAGGCCAAATGGAGAGAGTGGGATTGGAATGGAATGGGCTTGTTGGATGAGCTTTTGCTCAATACTAGCAATAGTAACCCTAACCCCTTACCTCCTTTAGACCAGCTTAAGGACCCTTTCTACCAGGACTTCCTTTTCTATACCCAAAAGCCCTTTTAATTGAGGGTAAAATTATTATTAAAAAAAAAAAGGGATCAGACCCCATTAAATCTCAAATTTAAGCTTGCTTGGGTCATTATAGTTTTAAATGGAGGGGTGATTTATTGGGAATGATGAACCCAAATACAAAAAGATAAGAAAGAGGAGGGGCAAGTCCTTTGATGCCATATACTTAAAGGGTATGCAAGCCTTGTGTTGTAGCTGTGCTTCCCCAAAAAGTAGAAAATTCTAAACATTCTTTCTCCTTTTCCTTTCTGTATCATTGTGGGTCTCTTTGTTTTCTCTTTTAGGGTCATTTTAGGGGAGATAGGTCAAGTATTTGGGTTGGGATTGGGCCTGCCTTGTATAGTATTTGTAGCCTAATTAGCTTGGGACCCCATTATATGTTGTACTCTTGTGAATATGACCAAGTGGCTTCACAGGTTAGAGCTTTGCTATATATGAGTGTAGGATGGTGGAGTATATATGAGTGTAGGATGGTGGAGGGATGCCTGGTGGAATGAGAGGTACTTGTGTGTAGCATTGTGTGATGGCTTCTTTGTCATGAGGTAAATGGGGGCATTTTATGACCTTCAAGAGCTTGGTGGAAGGGTCCATAATTCACTGATGATCAACATTCTTCTTGGAGGATGCCCAAACTCTTGGTGTATTCATTTGTTGATGCTGATTCATTCAAGAGTGAAATTGGATTGGGAAAATTCAACAAGAAGTATCTTTAGGGGAACACTTTTGTTGCATGTATTACATGAAATTAAAATCAAATATTTTCATTTTTCAATGTGGGTACATTTTGTGTTCTTGGTGAGAAATATTTGATCAATAAGCAGAGGAATTTCATGGCATTTACAGGGTACATCTGGTAATTTTTGGCCAAAGTATCTAACATTACATTGGCATTGTTGTGGACATCACAAAGGAAAATAATGCATCTATAAAGAACCTTCTAATTATTTGCATCTTTAGGGACAAAAGGATGATCATTTATCAGCAGATTCTCTGAACCCTTGAATGTTCGTGGCTAAACTGACTGTTACTATCTCCAATCCTTTATGGAAATGTCCTATAAAATGAATTATTTTTAGGAAAATTATTTCATATTCTCCCTATGGAAGTTGCTCTCCTCTTGTTGGGAAACGTTTCCCACATTTTTTCATCTACCCTATTAGTACTACACCATTTATATATGGCCAAAGCTTATCTTTAACAAATGGGATAAAAATAACGGTTTAGGTTTTCATCAACCACCTAGTACTTCACCATTTAAATATGGCCAAAATTCTCTGTTTAACAAATGGGTAAAAAGTTAACAATAAAACCAACCGATGTTCATGGTTTCTTCACAAAGGGCAGGGCAGTTGTAGCTAGGATCCATCTCTCCCATGAAGCCAGAAAGCAGATGTTCCGAATCCGAATTGGAGTCGGAATCTACCAATCTACCGTTTGTTGTTGACAAGGTGCAAAAGGAAATGCCTCAGGATAAGATCGGTATCTACTTCATTCCTCACACACCTCTGATGAAAGTAGGCATGATTGAGCTACCAAAGCCGAAGAATCCCAGAGGCACCTGACTGTTTGGGAACCCTAGTTTTTGTTGTTCCCACTGTAAGATTGGGGCATACTATTGAGGATTGCTACCCCAAAGGGCTCCTCTGAGAACGAATTGCCGATGGGAAAATTGTGTTCAGAGACAAGCCCTGGGAAGAGACAGAGAAGGGACAAGCACACCATGCTGAAATACCGATGCACACTCAAAACCAAGATTCCGAGATCCCTCAAAATGACCCAGGTGGTTTGGAGGAATCAAACTCTAGAGTCCTATGAAACTCCATCTGCCTTTGAAGGTACTTGGGAGATATATACTAGCAAGTAGAGCACAATCGGTTACAAGTTACAATGTATAGAACTCTTGCAGGTCGGATTCCAAATTGTTGATTTGAGAAGGACCTGTCCATTGAAACCTAAAGAGCAAAGAAAAAAAGCCCAAAGTCCTCACGAAAGACGAGGAAAAAGCAGAAAGAGGAGCAAAAGATGCCCTTGCCATCTATTCTCCCACTTTTACTCTCAACAATAGGAAAGGAGCTGGGTCGCGGTAGCACCCCTGTACCTATTTACCTATTGACACTTTAAAAAACTAAATCCAAAAAAAAAAGCTAAAGCTAATCGCTTTGGACTAGCAATTATGCATGGCTAAGATGGCCAGATGTCAAATAATTCAGATAATGCAGGTAGATTAATTCCAATAGGTCGACCACATTCATCTCCAGTCCGGGAGGACTGTTGAAGTTAAGCCCCCCTCGAAATAGAGCAATGGAGCGACAAGCACCCCCAAAATAATATTGGGGAAACTCAAGCTAGTATCTTTGACCAAGGTGGTAATCAAATAGACTCCTTAAGGAAAGATGACCATAGGGTAAAATACCACGGCATTGCCCATCTACCTAAGATTTCAGCCAAATTGAGCGTCTATGATGCCCTCATGTCCAGTAACCTCAAATAGTCCTCATACAGACCCTACACATTTAAGGGACTGCAATGCCGAAGTTGAGCTAATTGAGGTTGATCATTCCTTGCTAATTGCATGACAATTACTTTGCAAATCCCACAGCTACCTTCTTTTGGTGCCCAGCAAACTTTATGTTACACAAGTGACGAGGGTGTATCTGGGAGTCAGCAATCAACCTCCTCCCTCTAGGGATCCTAGCAGTGTTTGAAAAATCGAACAGGCCTCGGAAATTGGCCAAAGGCCAGTTGTAAGTAACCGGTAAACTGGCCGGTTCAACATGTCTAACCGAGCAGATCCTGGCCCATCCAAAAAGTATTAAAAAAATAAAAAATACAAAATAAATCTAAAAAAATATGAAAAAAATATATTTCAAGCTTGATTAAACAAAGAACAACCAAATGGAGTTGAAAAATAGTGAAAAAAATAGATTTAAAAAAAATCGATTTGGCATAGGGGTATTTTTGAAACTTTCCCAAAAAGAGGGGAAAATATAAAAATAAATATTTATGGCTAAAACACTTTCCAATCTTTACCAAAACATAAAAACACATTAAAAAACGCATTACAAACAAATTCTTTATTTTTGAGGATTTTATATATTTATAAAAAAAATTAAAATACTCAACCAGAGCGCTAAAACCGGCCAAAACCAGATCGGCCAGTGCCCGATTCCGGTTTGACCAACCGAGTTTGTGAACACTAATCCTGGGTCACTTAGCTTGAGTTTTGATAAATTAAAGCTTTATATTTCGCAATTCAGGGTTTCGGCCAATCAGGTGAAAGATCCATATGAAGCATCAGTCTTTACGTTCAAAGTAGGAGATTTCGACTCTCACGTCTTTTACCATACCATTGACATCAGTATGCGCTATAATATCCTACTGGGACAGTCATCGCTGCATGAAAATGGAGTCCACTCCAAACAACAAATCAAGTACTGCTGGAATGAGAAATAGTGCAGTCTATGCAAACAAGAAAATGTTTCCTTCCATTGATTCTCATTATGCTAATGGCAAATACTATCTTTGAAAGATGACTGCTTCTAGTCGCATGAGCCTAAACTAAGAGTCTCATGAGGCTTCTGGATGCGAGCCTAAATTCTGCATCATCTAGTACTCCCTTGCAAACCATGCCAAATTGCATGCTTGATGCTCAAACTGCAAACCATCAGCCAGGGTCGAGCCCAGTAAGTGCAGGACCCAAGGCCAGGATGATGACTTGTATCATGATGATGTCAACAAGGCGTTTGCAAGGGTATTCGGGAATTTGGATGCTGAAGAAAAAATCATACTTCTGACTGTGATACTCCCACAAGTGATCGAACTGACAACAGCTTTGACCATTGAGCTCAAAGAGCCCAATCCAAGTCCTCGACTTCTATGCATTCCCTTGAAAGTTATATACGAAAAAGATCCGACTAACTACTAAGGCATTGGGGATCCAAATTAACAAGGACACCACATCCAAACCTCTCTATATAGCACTGAATGGGTTGAGGAAACAGCATTCCAAATCACTTTCAAGGTGAACCAGAGGAATAAATATGCCCTTTCAACCATTATAAATCCCCTTAGAAAGGGATGGACTGTAATGCCAAAGTAAAAAGGACAGATGGTGATAACCACTAAAGGTCCCACCATGTCTCCTTAGACCATAAACATTCTGTAAAAAAAGAAGGGGTTAAAACCAAATCAAATTAGGAAAAGTCAACAGTAACAAGACGAAGAGTCCTCACCACAGGACATTAAACTGCAAGGCACCCATCCTCTTCGTATGACATTAAACTATGCATCACATTGTCCGAAGCTGGTGATGACATAAAAAGCCCCATCTCACCTCTGAAGGAGGATGACTTGTTCAGAGGGTGCCCCATGCCAATTGGGAGAATATAGCCAAGCCACTGTGGAAGGTCTCATCGTGGTTGATCTTGATGAGGAATACAATCTCAGGCCCAAATTTCTAATATCCCAGTGGCTTCAGAAGAAAATGACAAATTTCCTCCCCTTCCTCATTGTGTTGGGATTGCACGTTTCCAAGAGACTCTACCAGTGCTGCTACATATAGGAGCAGCTTCCCATGGATAGGTGCCAACAAAACCAGTAGGTTCAAGAGTAGGCCTTGATAGCATTGAAAGCACCTTGATAGGCCAGAACCCATACAAAGAGTACCCATTTCTTCTTCAACTTCGAAAAGGGTTTACATTTTCCAATGAGATTTGCTATATACATATATATTCTGATATAAGCAAGCGTCCCTCGGAGAGATTTGAGTTTCTGCAGGTTTGCAGCATCTCTTGAATGGCACCAATCTTTACCGAATCGATTTCTAAGCCACAATGCCTGATGACAAAACCCAAAAACTTTCCTAATGCCACACCAAAGGCAAACCTCCAAGGATTCATCTTGAGTTGGTGAGCCCGAAGCTGTCGAAGACCATTCTAAGGTCTCTCAGATGAGCGAAACGGTCCTGAGATTTCATCAATAGATCATCCATATAGCTTTCCCCAAAAACCATGGGAATTGTCCTCAAAGATGATGGTCGTTCATGTAGCACCCACATTCTCGAGTCTAAAGAGCATAACTTTGAAGCAGAAAATCCCCTTGGGAATTCTAAACCAAGAGATCTTCATCCTCTAGGGCCATCCTTATCCGATTATTCCCTAACTATCAATCCATGAAGGTGAAGGCCTGGCATGTCATGGAGGAATTGAATAGCAGCTCTATTATAGGGAGAGGAAAGCTATCCTTAGGGCAAGCAACGTTCATATCGTGAAAGTCGATGAAGACCCGGATTTGTCCAATCCACTCTTTTATTGAGATAATATTTGCTAGTCAGGTAGGATACATGGCCATTACCTTCTCGATTTCTTCTTCAGTATGAGGGATGAGCTCTGGTCAAAAGTGTCGTTGTCCATGTTTCACCAGCTTCGTGCCGGACAACAGCTAATTTGTGGGTGGCAACCCCTTGGATCAAGGTCAGGCATTTCCTGATAATTCCAAGAATATACACCCCTTCCTACATTATATATATATATATATATATATATACCCACTCCATATGTGCATAGAAAATAAATTACCTCCTACAATTGAATAGCAACCATCCAATTTTTGGACAGCTAAATCTAAGTGTTTAAGAACTCAAGTTGGACCCTTTCTTAATATCTATCTGGTAATTCTGAAGCAAACCCCAAAATTTCAGGTTGAAAGAATTCTCATAAGATCATTTGCCAGATGGAGCACGTGTAATGTGTATTCCTGGGAGTCTATGCCATATGTGCTCAACTCAACTAAAATGGGTATAACCCCTTGGTGTTGCACCAGGTAGAGAGGTTAGGGTGTTATTAGAGATAGATCAAAGTAGGCACTGCTACTAAAATCGTCCTCCTGTTTCATCACCACTAACAACATTTGAATTGTTGGTAACTTTGCGATTCAATACAAGAATTCACCAATATGCAAAAGAAAAAACCTAAAATAAATGACATTGTCAAAAAAAAACCCTAAAATAAATGATTTTCCATTCAAGAAAGCCAATCAAAGGCAAGCAAGAAAGCAAGATAAGAATTAATTTAAATTGCACTTTTGAGGACCAAGAGGCCTATGCAACAAACAGAATAGTTTTAGTTTAATATGATATTTTTCATTTTCTTGAGTCCTTATGTCTCAAACGCCACACATAAACAAGTGATCTGGCAGGCAAGTTACTTCCCTCTGAGATAACAATACGGCAAACAACATAGTTTGTTGATGAGAAGTAGATATTTATATTTTTGGTTTTTTTACTCAAATTGATAATTATTATGCCTTGAAAAATAACGATTTCAAATAAACTAGCTTAACACTTTGCTTCGAATACAAGAAAACCAAAGTCCATAGGTACTGAATACTTGAAGCGGAACTAGGAATGCGCGAGCCTGCAAAAGAAAAAGGTGAATTTGAGTTAGTTATGCCTCATGTTCAAAGAAATTGAACTTCAGTGTAACTCACTAAGTAGATGGATTTAAAAAAGCATTAAGGGAGACATTGATATTGACGGATTTCCCAAAATTGGTTCGCAGTTTCGAATATTTTCCACCAGCCTTTAGAAATATACCTTAAATATGGACTCAAAATGAAATGGTGGTTTAGTGCTAGACGAGTACAAAATCATCAATTGAGGAATGAGCTATACATTGGTTCTTTTCTCAAGTTGACTGCATAATTTATTCGATAACTTGTGACCAGTAGTCACAATCGGATTACTGCAACTATGGCAATTGGTTCAGTTGCTGCCCATTGTGGAAATTGTACGAATTCCGAAAAGCAATATAAAGGATAAATTACATAAGAGTTACCAAAAAAGTTTCTGGTTTAATTTACATAGATTGACAATAATCATGATTTCTGGGGGAATTCCAGAAAATAAAATTATACAACAAAATATTGTAGCCTGAAAAAAAGAAGGCCAAGTCACTATAGTCTAATGAACAATGAAAAACCATAGTCCACTAGAGTAATGACCATCCAATATTTGGACAGTGATGAGAGAGAGAGAGAGAGAGAGAGAGAGAGAGAGAGAGGAGGAGGACGGGACCGGCACTCTATCTATGTACTAGTACGTACGTCGTTACCCGTAACCCTAAGTACGTACTTTACTTTCGTTGTCGTACCGACCTAGTACGTACTATATAGTAAGGTAAGTAGT